ATGACCGGCGGCACGTGCGCGGCCCAGCGGGGGGGCCATTCACGCAATGAAGCAAGGAGGGGCGCCACGAAATCTGGGGAAATAGCATGGCCCCCGCCATGATATCCACCCCCCCCTAGTCATCACCCCCCTCTGTTCCGCCCCCGAGCCTTGGGCCGCAGCGCCCCGCCCGGGGAGGGCGCACCCGCCGTGGCCGCGCTGCCAGAAGCAGCCGCGGAGGCCAAGGAGCCGCTGGGGGGTGCGCCCGTCGACCCGCGCGCGGCGGCGCCCGCGGACCCGCGCCGCGGGAGCGCCGCTCGCGCCCCGCGGGCAGCGGCCGCAGCGCCTCGTGCCCTCTCGACGAGTGCGAGGACGACGAGCACCCCAATGAAGGGGCCCAAGGACACACAAATAGATACACACGAATAAAAGTATTCCCCATATTTCCCCCTATTTTCTGGGTTCCTGTCCTCCCGCCCACTTCCCATAGTTTCCCATATTTCCCTGGGAATCGACGATGAATTGTGTCTGTGTGTTTTTTCCCCTCCTGACCCAACTCGTCCACGCGCGCGCGGCGGTTGCACAGGCGACGGGCGCTCCTGCGCTGCCTCCGCGGGCAGGGCCAGCACGGCCTACGACGACAGCCCCAGAGCGCCGGAGAACACGCGGCGCTGCGGCGCTCACGTGCTGCGGCGGGCCCCGCCCCTGAACGACAGCCATCCGCTGCACTCTCGCGATGAAACGGTCGCGGAGGCGTGGCCCTTCCGATGGGGAGCAGCGGTGCCAGCGCCTCGCAGCCGCCATCGGTGCCGAGATGTAGTGCCGGGCAGCCAGGCAGGTGCGGGCCTTTTGTTGGGCGGCGCGCACGAGGGGGTTAGGGGGAGAGGGGAAGGCTTCGCAGAAGGAGAATGCTTCTTCGAAGGCGGCGGCACTAGATCTAGAGACCAGGCCCGCGCCTTCTGAAAAGCAGGGGTGCTTCTAAGAAGCCGTCCCCCTCCCCCACACCCCCCTCTGAGCGGGGCTTACTGTTGGCCAGAGGCGTCCTGGCGCCCTGCTGGTCGCGCGGTCCCCCCCGCCCCGCCTCCGTCCCCAGTTCACCGCCGCTCGCCCGCCCTCCCCCGCCCGCCCCGCCGACGCTGCCGTGGCCGCCGCCTCCCTCCGCAGCTGACCTCCTCGCCACACCGACCGACGACGGCCGATGGGCGCCTAACGACCACCCGTTCCGTCCTGTGCAGGCCATTCCGCGACGACATTCTTGCTGCCTGCCGCGTTCCCTCTTTTGTTGCATAAGAGAAATGTAGGCAGTATTGTCGGCTGCGTCCGCGACGAAGGGCTGGTGCTATAAGCGGCTGTCGGTGCCCCTTCCCCTCCTCCTCCTCCTCCTCCTCCTCCTCCTCCTCCTCCTCCTCCTTCATCCATCATCATCATCATCATCATCATCATCATCATCAATCATCATCATCATCATCATCATCATCATCATCATCATCATCATCATCAGCAGCAGCAGCAGCAGCAGCAGCAGCAGCAGCAGCCCCCTCCTCCTCATCATCCTCATCCTCATCCTCATCCTCACCATCACCATCACCATCACCATCACCATCACATCACCATCATCATCACCACCACCACCACCACACCATCATCATCATCATCATCATCATCATCATCATCATCATCATCATCATCAGCAGCAGCAGCAGCAGCAGCAGCAGCAGCATCATCATCATCATCATCATCATCATCATCATCATCATCATCATCATCCCATGGCGCTGCTCAGCCTCTCGTGCGCCCTCCCGCCCAAGCCAGTGAACGAATTCGGGGAGCTCTCTCCCTGGCGGTGGCGGAGGTGGTCCCGGTGGGTGCGACACCCATCAGGAGAGGGGCAGAGAGAGCAGGTATGCGGCCCGTCCCTCAAAGGAACATCAGGCTATACGACATGACAGTACAGCGAGGGGGTCTTGGTTCCACCCTTGCCACTGTGTGTGTGGGCTGTGGGCGCAGGACTTTTGATTCGCGGGTCGAGAGCGCACCTCTTCCGGTCGAAGCTAAGCGGGCCGCGCAGAGCTTGAATTACGCAGAGAAGGGGGAGGAGAAGGGGGGCGCAGCCTCAGAACGAGGCCGGGAGGAGCGGTGGGCGCAGGACGTGCAAGGAGGGATCGCGCATGTCCTGCGGCTGCAGGGCAAGAGCTGCACACGGAGCGGCGTGCGGAGGTCCGAAGGTGGTGCGTGAGTGGGGGTTCAGCTGCGGTTGGCGTGATTCGGCGGTGGACAGACCTCCCTTACTAACGGCCGCTTCGCCCTCTCGCGAACCGAGAACGGCCAATTCGCTAATCGACGTGTCAGGGTAGGAGGTCTATCGACCTCCGAGTGATCATCTGGGGGGAAATTCGCATACTGGTTCTCGCCGGGAGGAGGCCTGAGCCGAGAGGCCTCGAGTCAAAACAGATCCATCGGAAAGGGGCGCGGGGGGCACGCGAAGGACGAGGAAAGAAAGGGGCGGAAGAGGAAGGGGCGAAGAGCGAGGAGTAGGAGGGCCAGGAGGAAGGGACGAAGAACGAGGACGAGGAGGAAGGGGCGAAGACCGAGGAATAAAAGGAGCAGGAGGAGGAGGCGGGACGGCAGGGAGGAGGAAGAGGAGGGCGAGGACGGAGGAGGAGGAGGAGGTCCCCGGACGAAAAGTACCCCGGGCGACTCCCGGCTGATCCCCGGGTGAAGTCACCAGAGCGCCCCATGAGCGCACCAACAGGGCTCCGAGACGTCCCCGAGAGCCCCAAGAAAGGCCAAGAGGCCCCCAAGAGGCCCCCAAGATGGTACACGAGGGGTCCGACATGCCACAAGATCGCTCCAAGACGCCCAAGATAGCCCCCAGACGCCCCAAGAGGCCTCCAAGAGCACTCCCAAGAGGGCCCCCGGAGGCAAAATTCATTGCTTTTCCTTAGGTTTTTGAGAGATTTTGGAGCTTCCACCTTTTCGGCTTCCCGACGCCCCAAGACGGCCCAAGAGGCCCCCAAGATCGCCCAAGAGGCCCCCCCAAGAGGGCCCCAAGATGGCCCAAGAGGGCTCGAAGACGGCCCAAGAAGCCTCCAAGACGGTCCAAGAGGGCCCCAAGAACGCCCCCAAAGGGGCCCCAGAGAGGGAACACGAAACAACATTTCGAGCCCTCGGCCCTAAGAAGCCCCTACGAGGCCCCAAGAGGCCCCTAAGAGGCCCCAAGAGGACCCCCACGAGGCCCTCAGGAGGCCCCCAAGAGTCCCCCAAGCGGCCCCAGGAGGCCCCCCAAATGCCCCCCCGAGCGCCCCAGGAGTCCCCCAAGCGGCCCCAGGAACCCCCAAAGCGCCGCATTGACACCAGGCCCTCGGGCAAACGGCAGACATGAGACTGTATGAAGGCACCCACAGGGCTCCGAGACGTCCCCGAGAGCACCAAGAAAGGCCAAGAGGCCCCCAAGAGACCCCCAAGATGGTACACGAGGGGTCCGACATGCCACAAGATCGCTCCAAGACGCCCAAGATAGCCCCCAGACGCCCCAAGAGGCCTCCAAGAGCACTCCCAAAAGGGCCCCAGGAGGCAAAATTCATTGTTTTTTTCCTCGGGTTTTTGAAAGATTTTGGAGCTTCCACCTTTTCGGGTTCCCGACGCCCCAAGACGGCCCAAGAGGCCCCCAAGATCGCCCCAAAAGGCCCAAGAGGCCCCCAAGAGGGCCCCAAGATGGCCCAAGAAGGCTCGAAGACGGCCCAAGAAGCCTCCAAGACGGTCCAAGAGGGCCCCAAGAACGCCCCCAAAGGGGCCCCAGAGAGGGAACACGAAACAACATTTCGAGCCCTCGGCCCTAAGAAGCCCCCACGAGGCCCCAAGAGGCCCCTAAGAGGCCCCAAGAGGCCCCCACGAGGCCCTCAGGAGGCCCCCAAGAGTCCCCCAAGCGGCCCCAGGAGGCCCCCCAAATGCCCCCCCGAGCACGCAAGCAAGTGCAAGCGATGCTACAATGTGCTCTCCTTTCGGTAGACTCCCAACGGGGCCCCTACAGACTTGCAACAAGCGTCAAGAACCTGCCCAAAAAGCACGGTCCAGGAGCGTTCACAAGTGCCGCGAAGAAGCCCTCCTTACGCCGGAAAGCCCGGAAAGCCGGGTGGGGTGAGCTGTTCTTCTCACCACCGCGCCCTCTCACACAATGGCTTCCGCACGCCGCCCAGAGCGCGACGTTCGGCTCATGCCCCCAGAACGCTCCAGGAGCGCGCCAAAACGGCACCGGAACGCCCCCGAAACAATCCAAGCGGCCTCAAGTCGCCGAACAATCGTTCCAAATCGCCCAAGATGACCTCAAAATTGCCGTCGAGGCCGCCAAGAAGCCCCAAGAGAGCCTCAAGAGGCCCTCCAAGACGGCCATTACAATCAAAAATCGTCCCATTCCAAGAGGAACATGTACACTTCCCGCATGAACGGCGTTTCGAGTTTCACAGCGCCTCAGACTACGCAAATAGCCCCCAACATCGCCCCGAGACAGCCCAACAATCCGCTAAAATCGGCCCAAGACGGCCCAAGATAACCCCAAGACGGCACAAGAGAGCACCAAGACCGCCCAAGAGGCGCCCAAAGGGGGATTCTGCCCCTAGGAGCACCTCAGAAGCCACCAACATCCCGCCAATAAGTCCCCCAAGACGCCCCAAGAACCACCCAAGAAGCCCAACAAGAAGCCCCAACGACCCCCAAACGGCCCTTACGGGGCCTCAAGAGGCTTCAACACTGCCTCCAAGAGGTTCCCGAGACGCCTGGCAAAAGAACCCTCAAAGCGCCGCATTGACACCAGGCCCTCGGGCAAACGGCAGACATGGGACTGTATGGGCCGGCGGAATGAGCGAAGCGATTCAATAAAAGGAGCAGGAGGAGGAGGCGGGACGGCGGGGAGGAGGAGGAGGAGGGCGAGGACGGAGGAGGAGGAGGAGGAGGAGGAGGAGGAGGAGGAGGGGAGGAGGAGGAGGAGGAGGAGGAATAAAAGGACCAGGAGGAGGAGACGGGACGGTGCTGGGCCGGTGACGTCCTCCATGAAGCCCTCCCTCGACATCTTCTCGTACAGGGGCCGGTTGAAAGCGACGTCCTCGTCTGTCAAAGAGGGGACGGGAAGGGAGGCCGGCGGCAGCGACGGAGAAGGGGCGGGGGCGAGGTGGAGCGAGGAGGAGCGAGGAGAGGGGAGAGAAGGTGACGAGGTAGGAGGGCAGAGAGACCTGGGGCAAAAAAAAAGAGGGGACGAGAGACGGATGCGAAACGGGAGGAGGAGGAGGACCGTGGTGGGACGGCGGGGAGGAGGGGGAGGGAGGGCGGGCCTCTGAGGAGCCTCCTGCGCCTCCAGCGGCAGGGGAAGCACGGGTGCTCGGTCGGCCGTGACGGGCGCCGCCTCCACGAGAGCACCCACGCCGGCCGCGGACCCTCCGTGGAGAACGTCGCAGAACGCACCCTGGCCAACGTTGACTACGGGACGGCGCCCGCATTGCGGACCGTGCTCAATCACTGGCAGCGGGGCACGGCCCGCGTGGCAAAATGGCCGCACGAAACCAGCCACAGGAAATGACGTCATATGGTGGGACGTGCGACAAGCGACGAGCAGCTGGCACACCCAAGGGCCATTCGCCACCGAGTGCGACCAGCGCGTGCAGCTGCGACGCCCCACGGAGCCACCGCCACCTCCAGTACAAAACAACAACAGATCGCAGACTATAGCACACTGAATTCAAAAGCGTGGATACCCGCGTCGTCGCCCCAACTGCCTCTGCGGCCGCAAATCCCTGAAGGGAAATCAGATTGGCACAGAAACCACGGAAAACAAATTCGCCGGCCCAACGGGCCAAGGGCGTGCTAAGATCTCCGGTAACTGTTTAACAATATTCTAGTTCGCGCGCGCGGGGCGGCCCCTGGGGATCTCTGGGCGAAAAATACCCTGGCAAGGTCCCGGCAAGGTCCCGGCAAGGTCCGGGCAGGTCCGGGTCAGAGATGCCAGACCGGGCAATTTTTCGACACCCCTCACGAGGATCGCGGCCTCCGAGGGGTTGGGGCTTCCAGGGGGGGAGGCAAAAGGAGGAGGAGGAGGAGGAGGAGGACGAGAAAGAGGAAGAGAAGGAGGAGGAGGAGGACAAGGAGGAGGGGGAGGAAGCAGGAGCTGCAGGAGGAGGAGCAAGGAGGAGGAAGGAGGAGGAAGGAGGAAGACGTTGGAGGAAGAAAAAGGAATCTGGGAATTCAGTACCCTGACGCCGTCCGAACATCATGTCATTTAGACACAGCCTTTGGCCTTAGGCCTCTGCTGGCACGGTTCAGATGTTCACGCCTGTTAGCATTGATAGCGGGAGACACAAAGAAGGCGGTCTCACGCGAGATGGCATAGCGACCCTGCGCGGTGGCTTTCGCGGACCGCCAGCGCGGCACGCTACATTGGAAACGAACGTGCTTAAGCGCGAAATTACGCGGGCAGCTTACGCGCGAGTGTCCGCGCAGTCGAACCCGCCTTGTGCGTCGTTCAGTTGACAATCACCGAAGACACCCATCACGCACAAATCCACACATCATGCGCATCATTGCGCACGAGCGTGAGCGACTTATGTACCCACCCACTCCCTGTGTACTCTCAAACTCCCCTGGGAGGTCTGAGGAAACCCCCCCTCAGCGGTAACGTCGACGGCGGTGAAGGGCGCAGCGAATCACGAAGTTCTCGTGTTGCGATCCGCCCAGGAGCGACAAATCTGGCACCTGCTTCGGGTGGCGCCGGCCACGCGGGCAGGACAAAACAGGGCCACCGCCGACGGGGGGGTAGGGCGAGGGGAGACAGCATCAGCAGCATTGGGAGCGGACCGTTTTTCGGTCTCTACCAGAGCATGGTGCGCAATCGCACTTTCCAAAACCGGCCTCGTCGGACACTTCCGCAGTTGAGCCGCTGGAGCCTCTGCCTCCTCAACAACATGCACACTGCCCGGGACGGCGGGGGGGCGGCGGCATCTCGCCCGCTGCGCGCAGCACTATTATCCATGTCAAAAACAAGACGGCTGCGGGGGCGCGCGCACAGATTTTCAAGTCAAAAGCAAAAAGGGTCCTCAAGCGCGGGCAGCAGATGGGAGTGCCGATTGCGCTCGAGCGTGGTCGAAACCACAATGAACGAGACATCGAACACGGGCATGCAAACGATGGGTGGTGGACTGGAGGCCTGTAGACCGCGCGCACACGCACACAAACACACACACACACACACACACATATCAATGCTGGCAAACCCGCCGCCACGTTGCATTGGTGTCGGACACGGACGGCGGGGCCGCCACGTTGTCCAATGTAACGCACCTGGTGCGAGTGGCACATGTGGCATGCGCGGCGCACGTCGCGGGTCTCACGCACCTGGCAGGCGTCGGCGCTGGCACCCGAAGGTTGTCGATAGCGGGGTCTGGCGATGCTGAGCCTCGGCTGCTACTCATGCAGTGGGGAGGCAGGCGGGGATTAGCGAAGCAACTTGCGACATTCCCGCTGGGAACCTGACCCCCCCCGCCCCCCCCCCCGAGTCCGGACGAGGAGGAGGAGGAGGAGGAGGGGGGCGGAAGAGGAGGAGGAGGAGGAGGAGGAGGACGAGGAGCGAGGGGGAGGAGCGAGAAGGAGGAGGAGGAGAAGGAGGAGGAGAAGGGGGGCTCAATGGAAGGCTCAAAATGGCCCCGGATGGCTCCCGAGAGGGGCCCCGACGCCTCGAGATGGATCGCGTCCACCACGTCTCGGGACACTGCCGCATGGTGCAAGATAGCCTCCGACATACATCCACGCCATCCCAAGGCAGCCCGAAGACGGCCCCAAGTGCCCTTCGAGTCGCCCAGGGTGTCAAACGAAGCCAGAATCTTCAGAAACACTCCAGGAAGCCTTCAGCGTTTGCTTTCTCGCCGTTTCGCTTCCAACGGGCCTACGCGGTCGCAGGATGACACCAATTTGGCCCGCCAAAGACCCGTTGGCCCCAGAAGCGCCAAAGAGGTGCCCGAGAGCATTCCGAGAGGGCCTCAAGAGGCCATTGATTCAACCTCCAAAGGGGGGGAGAATGAGCCCCCCCCTCTCGGCGACGGGGCCCAAGATCGCCCAGAGAGGGCGCCGAGACCCCCCCCTCGACAAAGAAGAAAACCAACAGGTCCCCAACAGGGCCTCAGAGGCTCCCGCAGTGGCGCCACGGTGCAAAGAGGCTCTCCTAGATAAAACGACGCGAAGATCGGGACAAAATCGGATCGGGATATCTCGAAATCTCTGAGAATCGGCGGGTTTGGAGGATGTATTGGGCGCCGCGGCCGCTCCAGAGCGTTCCAGAACGCTCTGAAAGCGCTCCGGAACGCTCTGGAGCGATTTATCCCGATCCTAGCCCTGTTTTGCTAGAGGCTCCACACAGACTCGCGAAGCGGACCGTCCGCGAAAGCTCCATGGCTGAGTCGTCGTTGTCGTCGTCTTCGAGTCGCCCGGACACCGCACCTGGATGGGCCGGCGCCGGCACGCCGCCCCCTCGCCAGGCGGACAGACCTCGAGGCAGATGGGGCACGCCCTTTCATGGCTGGTGAAAACGCAACTGAGGAAGTTGGGCGTGGCTTAGTGGGGGGGTCATAGATGGGGGGTCAGAAACGGTCCCCTTTCCTGCCCTGGCCGGGCCCCTCCAGAGCCCAGGGGGCTCGTTTAGGTACCGTTTGGGTACCTTTTCGGACCACCCTCGCTACCCCCCCCTTTATGATCCCCCCATTACGCGACGCCCAAGGAAGGCAGCAGACGCCGCGGCCGGCACAGGAGGAGGATTCACAAGGGGTTCTGTCCAACTCCGCGCAGCCCGCCGTCGCTGCTCGACCTGCTGCCGCATGAGCTCAGGAACCGGCTGCGCGCTGCGAAGCTCGTCGAGGTGCCATCGCTGCACACGGTCGAAGGCGGCGCCCACGTCGCGCTCGGATCGGCCGCCGCTGGCCATCCAGGCCTCGCGGCCGGCAAACCACGCGGCCACTTTCCCGCGCTATTGACTCGCGTCGACGGGGCTCTTCTGGCGGAACAGAACCAGCTCCAGGGAAGACCCCGGCACTGGCGGCGACGCGACTGCTAGTGTGGCCTTCGGCGGCCGCACGGAGCTCGACACCCGTGGGGCGCTGATGCTCGGGCCGGAGACTGGAGGCATGCATGCCCAGCTCGGAAACTGCACGTCGGCAGACGGGGCCACAGACGCGGCGACTCGCGCGTTGAGGTTGCCCACCCAGTCGAGCCCCCGAGCTTGCCCCCGCGGGAACGCACCGCCCACTCGCGTCCACAGTTGCGGCGCTGATTGCGGCGGTTTGTTGCAGCTGCTGGAGCTGCTAGCGCTGCTGGCGCGGCCGCTGCCCCAGGGGCTGCCGCGGCCGGCGCTGCCACCCCCGCTGCCGCGCAGGCCGGCCACGCAGTCGCATGGCCCGCCAGTCGCGCAGAGTCTCGCACGCGGCCCATGATTTCTGCCATGTTGCGTCGCAGTCGCCGCAGCTCCTCGTCGCGAGGGTTGGGAGAGGACGGAGAGGAGGACGATGCACCCGCCCATCGCGACCAATGGCTGTGGCCGACTTGTTGCTAAGAGCCATCTGACGACGCACTCGGGGCGGCTGCTGCCGCTGCGGGCAGCGACGACGGCGCGGCTGGAGTCGGCTGTCCGCCGCTCCAGAGGTCAGCGCTCAGCGCGGGGCCACCACCCCCAGGACCCGGAACAACGTGCCGCGGACTCCCGGCGGCGCCCGCGGCCACCGACGCCGCGCGCGACCCTGGCGCGGGCAGCTGCTCAGACAGGCCCAGCGGCCCCCGCTGGGCCAGAAGCGCACGCGGTGAGACGCCGGCGACGATAGCAAAGCTGGGAAGCAGGCGCTAGGAAAGAGAGAGCGCCGTCGGCTGCGGCGCCAGGGGCAGTCGCGCACGAGGTGCTCCTGAGAGTCGCACCCGTGACAAATGAGACGCACCCCGCCAGGGCCCGGGAGCTTGCCTTGGCGGCTGGACCCCGCGCCACCGGCCCCGAGCCGCCCTCTGCCCTTTCCACTGCCCCCCCAGAAGCCCGCGAGGATCCCCGAAAGGTTGTTTCTGACGCGCTGGCCAGGAAGCTCGACATTTGCGTCTGCTTGTCTCGGGGGCTCGCAAGAGCACGGCAATCAATTCCCGCGCGATATCTCTAGCGGCCGACGGCGCGGCCCCGAGGGCGCAAACGCCAAGCATGGGAGCACGGGAGCGACAACCCACGGGGGCGCGCCCCCAGGCGAGCCGAGGAGTCGTCGGGCACCCCGCCAAGCGAAGCTGCCTGGCGACGCAGAATTTCGGCGCACACGAATACAAAAACAAAAAATAGGCACACCAAAAGTGGCTCGAGGCCACTTTTGGTGCACACCCCAAGAACCCCATGGAAGGCGCACAAAATGAGCGCACCAGAAAAACGTTAACCAGAATTCCTCGCACATTCCTCAGACCCTTTCGCTTAGCTGCCCCCCGCTAGACGGCCCCTGCGCTGGCCCGCAAGCACGCATTTGGCATCGGCTCAACGGCTCGCCGAGGCGCGCCAGCGCCCGCCGCCGTCGGGGGGAACAACAGATGCTGTCTGGGGAGAAATACAGTCTGGGGAGAAATACATGACTGCACTGATCCACGCTCCCGACTTTCGTTCGATGACTCTCTGGACGCAAAACGCGGGCCCGCCAACTGTCAGAGCAGCCCCCGAGTGCTTCGGAGCGCTCGCAAGCCCGCAAGAGGCGCGCACCGCGCTTGCCTACAGGAGCGCCGCGCAGCTCCGGGTCCGCGGCAACGCCTTCGCCGACGGAGCTGACGGTAGGAAGCGATTCACAACCAGGCAGCAAATCTCACCGATATGCAGCGGGCGGAATAGGCAGAGAGTTACCCTTGTCAGCGATCTCTGCACCTCGTCTACCACAAAGCACGACGGAGCTGACGGCGTCAGAGTCGGTGCCTGAATCGACACTGGCTGGGGAATGCCCCCCTGCGCTGGTGACGCCGCGCTGGCGTCGCCGTGATCTGCCGACGCAGGAGGGGTCGGCGCTGCCCCCAGCGCAGCTCGGCCCATGCCGCCCCAGCTCGATCCGGCCCCGGCGCCGCAGGCACCCTGAACCTGATCTCGCGCGGGCGCGCCCGCACGGAACTGGCGGCCCCCGCCGGCGCCGCAGCTGGCCCGCGAAGCGCGCGAGAGGCCGGGGCAGCGCTGTCAAATCATAGCCAGCCAGAGGTTCGACGCGCCAGCGGCGCGCAGCAAGAGAAAGCGGACACCCTCGCAGCCGATCATCACTTGACCTGCATGCTGCGCCCGCTTGCGAAGGAAATTGTCGACGCGCTCGGCTGAAGTTCATCAGCACCGACACGTCCGAAGCGCGACCCTGCTCGCCCAGTCGGCCCCGCCGCTCGGCCGAACCGCGCATAATGCAAGTCATCGGCGACACTGGGTCGCCGTTGATGAGCCGCCCCTGGACTGGGACAGCCGGCGGCCATTCGCCCGCGCACTCGCGCGCCGTGCCGGCGAGGCGCGATGGGGCGCAGGCCGCCTGGCGGAACCTGTCGAGGTCTGAGCGCGCGCACATACTTCTGAAAGGCACTCGAGCTCGCCGATCGGGCCCCCAGACGCGGAAGCGTCGCATGCCGCCACCACTGCCACATGCGCCCATGCAAGCAATGCAGCTGGTGAAAGCAAGCACGCCCACTCCGATGGCCGTCCACCTGGAATGCATCCTCCCCCACGCGTCGCGGAGGCGCTAGAGGCAGGGGATCCACGCGCGGCGCCGCTCAAGCAGCGCGCATTGGAGCCACTGCGGGCACTTGCCCCGGAAGTAGCCCGCCTCGTCTGCGCATTGGGCGTTTGCTCATGTCGCGCGTCTGTCGTGCTATCTGCGACCGGGACATCCCGCGACGCCGTCGGGGGCACGGTCCTCGCACGTCACGTCGTCACCGCGCTGAACTCCGCCAACTGAGAGATCGCCAAAATGAGTTCGCAGCGGGCTGGGTCCTGCCAGGTTGCTGGGAATTCGCGGGCAAACTGAAAGGTAATGCGCCAAGAGATCGAAGACGATACGGGGCGCGGGAGAGCTGATGAGTTGGGCGCTGACTGTACTGAACTCGTGCACCCAGATCCGCGTCGCTGTCCCTCGGGGTGCCGTTGACACTGTCACCACACCCTCCGCTGCCTCCCCCCGCTCTTCTCTGCCTGCTCCTCCCACGGCTCTTACGACGCAATCACCAAAAGCTCAAGGCCGTTAGCCGACACCGTAAATGTGAACGTCGTGTTGAACAACTGTCTGAAATTTGCGGCTACACCCACATGCAGGCGCACTAAAGGCGCAGGGTCCGCGAGATGCGCTGACACTGTCAGCGCAAGCCCAGGAGGGATCGCTGACAGCTCTGGCGCGCCACGGAGTTCGTCGTCGTCGCAGGCGGCTGCGCGGCTGGGATCCTTGAAGGTTTTCTTGGTGTCCTCGTAATTGTACTGGTCACGCGCCCTGCCCGTCACGGATCCTGGCGGATGGGCTGCTGTCCCGACAGACCCTAGAGCAACGTTTCCTGCCAAAGGCGAGGTTAAGAGCGAATGACTCGTGGGATAAGCAGCGGCGGAGGGTTGGAGCAAATGCTGTCGAAGCGCGACGGGACATGGCAAGGCCGTGGCAACGGAGCATGATGCTCCGCTTTCAACTATAGATATATATATATATGTGGGGAAGGATGCAGGAAATTAAAGCTTTTTGGATAGCGCGATGAATGTGTCTAAGAGCTTGCAGCTGGCAGCGGGTGGTGGAGGCAAGGCCGGGGTGTGATAAGCAGGGCAGGAAGGCATTCCGTTCGAGCAGGAGGAGGAGGAGGAAGGTGACGGGGGTAGAGGACGGGGGTAGAGGATGAGGGAGGAATCTGGAAGATGGAGGAGAATGAAGGTGGAGAACGACCACGACGACAACGAAAAGGACGACGACGACGACGACAACGACGACAACGACGACAGGGACCCCAGAGAGCCAGGGCCCGGCGGAGGTCCCTGATCTTCAGGGCCTCCCCGAGGTGCGGTTCGCCCTTCTCGGTGGGGTGCCGCTTGGCGTTCTCGCGCATCCTGATCGGGAAGACGCAACCCTCCTCGTCCTCGTCCTAGCCCTCGTCCTCCTCGCCCTCGCCCTCCTCGCCCCCCTCTCCTTCCCCTCTACACCCTCGCCGTCGACCTCACCCCCCTGGCCGAGGTCCAGGGGGAGGGGTGAGAAAAACACCTCCCTCCTCCTCCTCCTCCTCCTCCTCCTCCTCCTCCCTCCTCCTCCTCCTCCTCCTCCTCCTCCTCCTCCTCTCCTCCTCCTCCTCCTCCTCCCCTCCTCCTCCTCCTCCTCCTCCTCCTCTCCTCCTCCTCCTCCTCCTCCTCCTCCTCCTCCTCCTCCCTCCTCCTCCTCCTCCTCCTCCTCCCCTCCCCTCTCGTCCTCGTCCTCTCCTCCCCCCTCCTCCTCCTCCTCCTCCTCCTCCTCCTCCTCCTCCTCCTCCTCCTCCACCTGCATCCCTTCTCCTTGAACAACTCATCCCCGTTGCACCCCCCGACGCGTCGATGGGGCGGGCCGGGCGTTTCGCCTGAGGCTTCCTCACCATTTATGGCCCTTACTCCTGACGTTTTCCAAAGGTTGCACTGACGGAAGGCGGGTCGCTCTCAAAATGGAGCAGTCGCATTCGGGCCGCGCTCGTTGACACTGTAGTGTCCCAGCAGCTTCACGGATCGAGGGCGGTTCCTTTTCAAGATGGTGTTTTCGCCGTAGCGCCGCGCACGTTATTCTGAATGGGTTGCAACAGTTTTAATGATGGACGGGCGGCTTCTTGTCGAAATGCTGCTCGTTGCCTTAGCACCGCGCATATTCGTCTTAAACGTTGCAACAGAATTACGACTGGAGGGCGGTACCTTTTCAAAATGGGGCTTTCGCCTTAGCGCAGCGCGCATTCGTCTTAAAGGTTCGCAACAGCTTCACGGATTGGAGGGCGATTCAGTTTCAACATGTTGCTCAGCGCACGCTCCTCGTGAACATGTGCGACAGTTGTGAAGATGGAAAGGGGCGTTTTCAAAATGGTGATCTCGCCCTAGCGCCGCACACACTCGTCTCAAAACATTGCAAAATATTCAAGGATGGACGGGCGGTCCTGTCCAAAATAATGTTCTCAGCTTCGGGCCGCACACATTTGTCGGAAAAGTTCGCACTAGCTTCACGAATGGAGGGGCTGTTCTTTTCAAAATGGTGCTCTCGCCTCGGCGCCGCGCACATTCGTCTGAAAAGTTCGCACTGACATCACTGATGGAGGGCTGTTCTTTCCTCAGCGCCGCGAACATTCGTCTCGAAATCTGGCAGACGATTTGAGAATCACACCAGCCCTTTAGGCTCAGGTGGTCTACCGAGTTCATTATGTCCTCTTCCAAAAACCCTCTTCCCTTGGGGGGGTACCATACCCCTCCCCCTCCTTGCGGGTTGTTGGAGGGTTCGCTGTGCGTTAGGGGGTCTGCTTTTACCCAAGATGGCTCCAAGAGGGCCTCCGATGGTCCAAGATGGCCTCCAAGGAGGCTCAAGATAGCCGAAGATGGTTCAAGATAGCTTCCGACAGACCTCCAAGAGGCCCGACGAGGCCCGACGAGGCCCTCGGGGCCCCCTCAGGACCCCCCAAGAGACCAAAACCATTCAACAATGAGGGAAATCGATGCGGGTTGCCTTCTCGCCTTTTCGCTTCCGATGCGCTGTCGATGCCGCAAGATGGACCCAAGATGGCCGAAAAGAGGCCCAAGAGTGGCCCAAGAGGCCTCCCTACACGGCCCCAAGAGCGCCGAAGAGCGGCCCAAGAGCGCTCCAGAGGGGCCTCACGAGGCGATATTGATGGCCTCAGGGGAGTGCGCAAATCGGGTCCCTCCCCCCACACTTTTGATCGATGGTCTCCAAGATGGCCCCAAGAGGCCCTCCAGGGCTCACAAGGGATCCCCAAGAGAGCTCCAAGTGGGCCCGAAGAGGGCTCCAAGACCCCCCAAAGGAGACCACAGCGGACCCCTAGATCCTCGAAAAGAGACCCAAGAGGGCTCCAAGAGGCGATGTTTAGGGCTCTGTTATCGTCCGCATGTTCCTCCCCCTCCTCCTCCTTCTTCTCCTCCTCCTCCTCCTCCTCCTCGTCCTCGTCCTCTTCCTTGCCGTCATCGCCTTCCTCTTCCGTTGGTCGTCGTCGTCCTCCTGCTCCGCCTCCTCCTCCTCCGCCTCCTCCTCCTCCCACTCCTTCCCTCGCTCCCACGCGGGCCCCAGGTGTGGCACGAAGAGGCCCGTCAAGGCCGCACCCTTGCTCCCAGACACCTCTCTGTTCACCCTGGTTGCCCACTTTGTTTCACTACTCGTGTCTCTGCGTCCATCTTCCTGTCGGCTCTCATGAGCAGGGATTTTGGACGGGCTGGTGGGCATGCGCGATGCAGGAAGAATTGAGCACTGGTCGTTTTCAAAATGGGGCTCTCGCCTCAGCGCCGCGCGCATTCGTTTGTTTGCTACGCTGCGTTTATCAGGATGGAGGACTGCTCTCTTTCCGAATGGAGTTATCGCCTGTGGCCACAAGTGACAAATCATTAAAATAAGTACACGTATTGGGGGGCGGTCCTTCTTCGAAAAAAAGATCTCGCTGGACACCCCGTCTAATTGAATGACCATTGTTTCGAGCTCCTGACTGCGCGCCGAAGGATTCAAGGCAATGCAGTTCAAAGCGGGGCACTCATCAAAATAGCAAGCCCAACTGTGATGGTATTTAGAAAGGGGCACTGCTTGTAGTGGAAAAGAGGACATGTAGGGGCGTATGAGGGGACTTGGGACGGGAGGGTGTATTGCAGCATCGCTTATGTATCTTTGGTTTACTCTGGTCGTCCTCATCCCTGTCCCGCGCGGGAGGAGGGGGAGGAGGGAGACGACGACGACGGACGACAACGAACGACGACAGACGACAGACGGCAAATCACTCGCGACGCACGACGGACAATCACGACGAACGGACGACCACAACGATCACCACCACCACCACCACATCTCCTGGGGTGCGGTTTGGCGAGAAATGCGGCGTGAGTCCAGCCGTGACGACGAGGGCGCCCAAGGAAGCCCAAAGAGGCACAAAAAGCTCGAACCTCGACCCTCGAACGATCGGCGACGACGCCGACGCCGCCGACGCCGACGCCGACGCCGACGCCGACGACGACGACGACTGGCCGAGGTGCGTCGAAGGCTTTCGTAGGAAGCATGCGAACCCTACCCCACCGCCCCACGCTTCAGGGGGGGGAGGTGGGGTTCGCTACGTTCGGGACTTCCCGAGCGAAGTTAGAGGGCTCCTAGATGGGTTCGGAGTAGAGGTCGGAGGACCGCGCCGCATCGCCGATACATCGGCGATACATCGCCGACACATCGGCGATACATCGGCGATGCACCGGCGTCGCATCGGCGATGCACCGGCCATGCATCGGTGACGTCGACGTGAACGAAATCGGGCTCCACATCGAGCCGCATCCAGAAGGCCTAGAGACGTGAACCCCACCCACACTTATGTCGGGCGTGTCCCCCTAGAGGGGGATGTTCGACGAAAACAAAAAAAAGATACCACAAAAATGCCCCAAAAAGCTCCAAAAATACTCAAAACATAGTCCCCAGAGTATGTTTGGACTATTTTTGGACCATCTTGGGGGCATTTCTTCTTATTCTTCGTCGAAGCTCCCCCTGCAGGGGGACCGGCCCCACTGAAGCCCACACCCCTCGGAAATCGCAGGGGGGCGCCGCAGGGCTCGCACGCGGCCTCCCGGGGCCGCCGCCAGCGGCCGCTGGCCGCCTCCGCGGGGGCCTCCCACGGCCGCCGAGAGGGAGAGGAGGAGGAGGAGGAGGAGGAGGAGGAGGAAAGGAGGAGGAGGAGGAGGAGGAGGAGAAAAGGAGGAGGAGGAGGAAGAAAAGGAGGAGGAGGAGGCGGAGGACGAGGAGGAAGAGGAGGAGGCGGAGGACCAGGAAGACGAGGAGGAGGAGCCCTCCTCGGAGGCCGCCGAGGCCCCGAGGAGGCCTCCGAGGGCCGGCCGGGCCTGCAGCGCGTGTGCGAGGCCGCGGCCTGCGGCGCCGCGAAAGGGCGGCCGCGGCGGGGCGGGGCGGGGCGCGCTGTTCGACGAGCTGCTGGTCCACGTTGTGCCTCGCCTGCGCCGCGCGTCGCGGGG